TTTTTGCGGAGATTATAAACAGACGTATTATTCCAATTTCATACTTTTGTACAGTGGCCATCATGGATTCTTATAAAATCACAAATAGTTATTATTGTTATTCAAAATCCCGGCTAGAGTTTTACGCGACCAGAACGTCCCATCAGACGAGACTTGTCTACGTGCGTGCCTATGTGCTTGTCCTGATAATATCTTGCTTTACGAAAGAGTTTCATTCCACAGCCGCATCACTTGAATTTTCTTAGCGTGTTTTGAAATAGAGTCCAGAATCCAGCAGCCACTATAGATCACGGCAAACTTTAAGCAGCGAAGGCAAAGATCAGATTTAATGTGCCGTTGACGTAAGCGAGTCATGAAACATCAAACTGTGGCGACCATTTGTTTATACTTTTCAGAAAATATTCCTTTTACGAATATATGCTTACTTGTTCTGTGACATTATATTTTACGTGGTTATTATAGGTACCTTCCACTCTTCGCATCGACAACCAGTTTCTTCGACACGAAGATTGATCTAACGAGCGAGCTCTATTTGTTTGGCGTCTTGTCACGTGAGGCTTAATCATTATTTTGAAAGACCACTTAAATACCAATTTACTTTACTATACATATTATATTCAGTTTGTTTCAGTATTCTCCGTACAAATATTTTAGTTCCTAGATTCCAACGTCATCACATTTAAAGCAAGGGATTCGTGCCTGTAGTTTAAAAACTTTCGATTCCGAGTTTGCTATATCCTCATTCAGTAAATGCTGGTCACATGCATGGAAATATAGGTAACGTGTCTTAGCGTGGCGTGACTTGCTGTGGCCGGCCTGCCCACGCGCTCCAAGCGGTCGTGCGATCGCGTATTCATTACCTCCTCCCGAACTCCATGCCGCGTAGCCGCCTCCAAACACAAACAAGTCTAATACTCTATGCAGAGTTCATAGCTGTGAGGTGATGATCATGCTTTGAATAACAATCACTTGAATATCGTCCAACTCAACGTCTTTGTAGCTAAATATAGGTATATATAGTTTTATTTATCAACGTAGTCTCGCGAGACTTCGACATCGACTAGCATTGACAGTTTTATAGAACTAGATAATAAAAACCGGTCAAATGCGTGAACGAAAGCTCTGAGGGTTCCCTATCCACAAAATAAACACGAAAAACTTTTTGAAACAATATTTAGTGAGATATATAGAAATATAGTATAAAAATATGTATAATGTATATATTATATATATTTTTCCATAAAAATATGTTCAAGACTCCGTTAGTGATAATAATAATCGTTTATTTATTTCCAATCACAGTAAACATTATACGGATCCGTAAACACAAAATACAGTAGTTTTTAGTAGTTATAATTATTAACACAAAGATCGAACACTCAGTTGTTATATTTTTCGCCTTCGTTAACTTTCCTTATTAATTTTCCAATTTTACATACGCGTGTTTGTGCTGTGTCATATTTCGATCTATATCGATAGCATCAATGGATAATTGGCAGAATTACATAAGTACTTTACATCAATACGAAAATGGGTCCGAAATTTTATGTTTACATTATTGTTGCAGAGTCCTAAAAACAATAACATACACCACATGGGTCAAGAGGACACGTAAATGTCGAGATCAATATTTAAACAAGCGCTCGTTTATAATTTGTTTTCGTATTGGACTTGCTGCGCATTTTGACAGAAATGGTTGCTTCATTTGACCGTTTCGCATGGTTAACCGTCGCGCCCGTCCCGTGCGCGGTCCCATCGAACTGCTCGGTTATGGAAATGCCTCGCGTTATCAGCGTAACAAGTTGTACGTGACGTGCACTATACTCAACTTCACGCAGACGTCCGCGGCGGCAGATTATGAATTATTCTATATCCGCCAAAACAGTAGAAATACACCGCTTAACATTATTACCGTATAAAGTATAATCGTAATTAGAGTAGTTCAAGTAATTACTTGTACCATTCTACATAAAATAAAGTACATGCAGAAAAGGCAATTTGTGTTAGAATAAATGGCTACGGTGCGGCTACGGTGTGGCACTGGTGCCATTGCGATATTTCGCAAACTCGTTCAAGGTTGGATCGAAGCCAATTCGATACGATAGGCCCACGAGCACCCTGAGTGCTCGCGATCACTCGTATGTACCAACCACTTCACAATTATAATTTCCGTCTTTTAATTGTTCTTGCGACGTTGGAAATATGACTACACTTCAATTTAGAATACTTCAGTGTGGAATTTCAATAGTATCATCAATTCCGTGGTGAATTCACACGACAAACTAAAAGTTTATCTCTTTGCATTTTGTTTAAGATAATTACGTAAAATGAAGCGTATGTGGATAAACCGGGATATGTTTCAATATTTTGTATTATAAACAGTGTAAACAAATTTCACCATCATCCGCAGCCCGACTACACCCACTGCTAGGCATAAGCTTCCAGTAGTAGTAGATTGTAGCATCTGCCACGATCTTGTGCTCGTCTCATCCACACACTCCCGCGACTTTGACGATGTCGTCTGCCTCTCGCTGCAGGACATTCCACATTTCTGTATCCACTTCTTAGTCACCATAATGATTGTAGATGTACTCCATTTATCGTCACTACGTCTCATAGTACGGCCTGCCAAGCTCTTTTGTCCGATCTCCTATGTCTTGAACATATATTCCAATGATTATCCCGGCGAAGACCAGTCTTGTTCGTACCTATTATTACTCCCCGCATTTTAGATTTGCGAGTAGGTATAGAAACATGATCTGAAGTTGGCATCAATTAATTGGATTTCAATACTCAGCAATTATGCAAAGTGACTAAACTCCTTTCAAATGTTTTTGGTGAAATACAAAGTAAACCCAGAACACGAACACAAAATAAAATAATTGAGTACCAAATCAGCCAACAGACCGAGTCAATTAGGAGTAGAGAACCTGTTTCAGATATAACATCTTGTTAAACAAAACATTCGAAAGGTGTAAAGATGTGGGTGAAGTTTGCGTTTCCAATTTAACCTCAGGCGAGAATTGTTCCTCATCTGGCAAGTGAAAATAACGCAGCTCGTTCGTTGGTAAGAATGTATCGATCGACGTGGGTGATGCTGGTTATCAAGGCACGATCTCTTAACATAATAATAATAAGTGTGTGCCGGTAGACTGGTGGGCGCATGTATAATTGTGGTATAACGCTGAGCGCTCACCTTGGCCGCGGCGCGACCAAGGCCAAGGTCGTAAAGCGAGCCGCCTCCCCACTCCCTGCCGCGCCCGCGCACGCGGTTTTTTTGCGCAGTGATGTAATCTGCAATTCGGCGCGCGAGCAACATGGCCGCCGCCGTCGTCTGCGTCGTCATGCTCAAATAAACATTGCTTCTATTCCAACTAACTTCTAATTACAAATCAGATCTCACCCAAGATTAATAGATCGACTCAAGTTCAGTAAAAATGTGTAACCGTTTGTTAGTGTGTTTATTCATAGGAGAAACAACAAATCCGCTTTTAAAAATAGATTAGATAATTTACAGTGAGTACAACATAGTACAATCCAATGAGAATATAAGTATGTAGGTATTATGATAATGTCATTGATAAATGATTCTAGTTTACAGAGTATGATAATTAGTACATAGTTGATCATCAAAACCCTTATTATTCTAAGTACGTTTCTTAACTGAGTTTTGGTAGATAAGTATTATTTTTCCGGTACTATCCTGAATTTGACTTGGATAGAAAATTACTAAAATTCGATTTTATAATGCTTTGTTTCATTACTTGATAAGGGACTCGCGTCATTGTGACCATGTGTCGTTGCAAGCAGTACTATTTTCGTATGAATGGCCCTATACGTTACTGCATTGCAACATAGTACAATATTATCTTCCTGAAACCTTTGCCAAGTGCCAACACGATGTCATGGTATAAATTTAATGAGAAGCGTTTTTAATATTAATTTACACAGAGGGTCAGTGGCAAATTATAAACTTCGAATACGGTTAACGAAAGAGATTTAAATAGTGTTGCGTCATAGATAAAAAAAATTCCAGAAAACAAAGTATTTTTTAATAAGTTGGTATCTATTTTTATTTTAAATTAAAAAATAATTACATATATTTTTCCAACATATTGCAGAAAAATATTATGATGACTTCCACCATTTGAAATTTTCGAACAGTTAGTTACAGTTCGAAAGTTACAGTAAGTTTGAAGTTCAAGTGTACCGATTGTTTAGTAGACATGGATCAGTGGAATTAGGAGCAACGTATTTCAAGTGGTCTTTCATTGCACTGGGGCCCGCCGCCGCCCGGCTACTTAAAAACAATCAGATGACATATTCGTTGGTTACGCCGTGTGTCACCGACTAACCTTGTAAGATCTCGGGTAGCTAGGTTTTAGAGCCACGGGATGAACTATCAATAAACCTTTGGGACCTATGGAAGGCTGTGAATCAGGGGCGTGAAGTGTATATATACACTCTCAGACGCATAATTCGAGCCACCTTGCATTTTTATCCTTAAAGGGCAAGAATATAAAAATATAGTTATCGTCGAAGAAAGAGTTTTCTCCGGTTTTTTAAATTCAAATTTTCAATAAAGACTTAAGGAAATAACGTTTAGTATACCAATTTCAAAGTTGCATAATAGTTCTTGATCAATAGCATTATATCATTGTTAAGGACATTTAATATTAAAAAGTTTAAAAAAAGTTAAGTTAAGGACATTTAATATTAAAAATGCCAAGTGGCTCGAATTACGTGTCCGGGAGTATATAAGTATAAATACTCAGGATATGCTGACAAGAAATCGGCTAACGTTGCTATAAATTCAATTAATAGTAAGAACTGAGGACCATTATTCGAAACCATATCTAAGCCTTTATCAGATAGGTTAATTATAACAAGTATTAACTTACCTACCGTTACACGCCTAACAGTTTGTTGTTAATGGATATTTTTCCACAATTTAAATGTAATATATTATGTGTGGCATTCCTCCCGCATGGTCTCCCACGCGAGTCCATAGAGCGCCAGAGGCGTCCATGGCGGTGCAGCGCAACGTACTACGAGCCGAGACACGATACTACGCCAATGAGCTGTTGAAACAACACGCTTTACTCTACGCACGGATTAGTGTACCTATAGTTACCGCGTTCAGTGAATGGTGCCAAGTGACCAATACTCCGAGAGAACCGTAGGCTTATGCCCGCACCGTATCCCGCTTGTCACTTTTCTTATAATAGTTACGCTACGCGCTTTGTAACCTACACTACGCCGAAGTCGATTTATTCCACGCCACGCAACAATATTACAGCGTCATCAAAATACACAAATCTGTGTATATTCAAATATCCATAATTGTATTGTTCCTTGTAGAACAATGCAGGGAAACATTAATATATGTATTATACGGTATAGGTAGCATAACGACAATTAGAACTTACTTATATCAGTGATGTCGTTCCACTTCATGATGACGTCGGTGCAAAGATCACCTGAAAAGAAAGATATTTTTTTATTTATATTTTAAATATTGGCTACAAAGGACGCTTCCCTTCACTAAAAGCACTCCATACAACGGTCGAAAGTTATTTACCTACCACCACTATATACAGTAAGGCGCTATCTGCACACGCGCCACCAATGTGTGCGTGAAGTGGCAGGGTTACCCATCACTTTCTCGTACTATTATTACGTCACGTGGTCAGAGCGGCAACATAGCGAAAATTCTAACGCGAATCTGTTATTTATAATTCTATTCATTGAATCCTAATAATTACACATGTTCTCTATTTATATAAATATAATAATATTATATTTTTCATTAATTCATTAACAAGAATAATATTGAAGATTTATTTTAAAATATTTTAAAAGCATCTAAAATAGAATATTTTGGACAGGTACTTTTAAATAAGGTAACCAAGATATTTGAAATTACGTGTCCAAGTTTATCATTACCTAGTTAATAATTATGTATAATATTCACTACATAATATTTATCGGCAATAGAAATTGAACATTCGAGAACCCTTGTCTACTAGCTCACGAAGTTATGACGGGTCTTTATGTTGATATAATAAATCTGTATTATAAATAATGATGTTAAATATGAACGTACAGGGTCAAGGGCATGTGAAGCTTGGCACTTAAAGACTTAAATCCAACTCTATACCGCTTACGATAAAAACGGTCCAAAGTACATAGTGTCAAGCTTGATGTGCTCTTGACTGTACAAGTTTCGTAATGAATAAATGAAAACTATCATACATAACATATATTCTTTTCATGTCATTATGTGTATCAAACGCTTTCACCTTATTTTAGAATTGTATCCAGTTGTGTGATCCGAATATTAAAAAAAACTATATTCAAATATCAAAGCCGTCTTAGCGCGAAAACGGCTCGCCGACAGCCTTGTTGCCGTTCAGTCAATGTGTCCGTCAATGTGCGGCGGGGCGTAAGGCGGTATCTAAAGCTAGGGAGGGGCGGAGTGTCCACTCTCGTTACTTTTTTGTTCTCGGTTAGAAGTATGGGTAGATCTTGTACTAGCGGTTGATATCGATGATATCGCAAAACGTATGAGGATTAGTTTCCTCATACTAGCAGGCAATTAACAAGTTCAGCAAACAATTAATGCTCTGAGTAATGTCGGTAGAACCGACACAAAGAGTCGAGCTAAAAGTTGCGAATCCCGTTAAATCATTTCGCCCTCCTCGACTAATTGAATCTTGCATCGCAGAAATTAACACATAATGTTATTTTTTATCTCACACTGTGAGAATGAGAATGTTCACAATGGGCGCTGCTTTAATTAAAAACGAGCATAATGGAAAGAATTGGTGATGAAAAAAGTGTTATGTTGCATACAATGAGCAGAGTGAGTGGTCGGTGTTTAGTTAACTATCGACGCACACGCGACTCGCGACGCGCGCACGCAATTCGTGTACATACGATCGCTGCATGCTCGCAAGCGCTCGGCATACAATTATAACAATTAATTGATGCATTGAACATTACACGCAGTATTGCAGTCGCCAATTGTGCAACCTCTACAACAAAAATAAAACTTTGGTTGCTAAAATTACCAATAGCTAAGAGTATTTGTTTATTAACTCGGGAAATAATTTATCATTGCGATTCTTTTAACAAGTAGTTATCTAATTTGACTCTTAAAATCAATAATAACCAACTGGCACTTATTTATTACGTAAGATGCCAAAAATGCATACCAAATAAAATATGTACTAGTTAATAAATTATACGAAAACGTTACATGAAGAACCTACGCAAATTAACTAGCAGATACGGCGCAGATATGGTTAGCAGAATATAAAATCTGTATCGGATGCTGAAGACAAGGAAATTCGGAATAGTGGCCTCGGCGGAGGAGGTCGAGAAGGGTGGTCACGTGCGGAAGAATACTGTGCAGCAATTGCGGGACGCGTCCCAGTTTCTCGCGAATTATTGTAATCGTTCAGCGGCCAAAGAACTTCAGGTGAAGATTTTATACATAAGTAGGTACAGAAGAGATACGCAGAACTTATGTTTGCATAATATTCAAACCACCACGCCTGTCTCCCAATGATACGAGATAACGGCCTCCAGTTACTACATTTCGGACGTACCTCTTTCGCTTATTCAAATCTTATCAAACCACGTTCGTTTCTTTTGGGTACTTATGGTCCGGCCTAATATTAAGGGATATCTCCATCTGGTTGTAATGTGAAATGCGATAGTGTTTATAAAATTCACGTTAGAAATGGAATTAAACGAAGATACTGCTACGAAAACTATTGTAGCGAGAAAAAACATATGGAGGACTGCCGGATCGTCTCATTACTTGTGATAAAAAAATTAGCTTAAATAGATTACACACGCATAATGGCAAACGTTTGATTGAACGCTTCGGTCCAGCCGGCGGCGGAGTAAGCAACCAAAGCATAATTAGATCTGGTACTTATACTCTTGTGAATACATGCGAAGGATGACGTTGTGATTAGCAGAGGTACAACTTATCTTCACAAGTTACAGAAGTTGCAAATTGACTTGCCAAACAAACAAAATGAGTTCTGTGAAGCAGTCGATTTATTTGTTCCAAGATTTGTAGATTCCCGTTCTCCACTATTGTACCGCGAATAAAAAATTCTTTTCAGCAACACAGCACCAGTGTAATGATAGCATGGGTGCATTATCTTTATTATTATGTCTTATTACAATGACAATTTCATATTTTAACCCGTTTTTGACCCTTATTGTTACATACATTTCCCCACATTTTCACCCACATGCTGATAAATTGTATCGTTCGTCACTTTAATATCATTCCACTTTCCACATGCGCAAGCAAACAAACCATCG